AAGGAAATTAAAAAAAAAAAAAAAGAAGATACAAGAAATGAGGGGAGAAATCTTCAGTGAAATTGACAGCATAAATAAAAAATAATCAACACTTTAGAAGACAGTGAATGCTCTCATAGAAATGCAAAATGCTCCAGAAAGTCTCAGCAATAGAATCAAACAAGCAGAAGAAAGAACTTCAGAGCTTGAAGGAAAGGTTTTCAAATGAAACCCATCCAACAAAGACAAACAGAAAAGAGTAAGAAAATATGAACAAAGCCTCCAAGAGGTCTGGGATTATGTTCAACAACCAAACCTAATAATAATTGGCGTTCCTGAGGAAGAAGAGAAATGTAAACGTTCGGGAAAAATATTTGGGGGATAATAGAAGAAAATTTCCCCAGCCTTGCCAGAGACCTAGACATCCAAATACAAGAAGCTTAAAGAACATGGGGGAAATTCACCACAAAAAGATGATCTCCTAGGTACATTGTCATCAGGTTATCTAAAGTCAAGATGAAGGAAAGAATCTTAAAAGCTGTGAGGCAAAAGCACCAAGTAATCTATTTTTTTATTTTATTTTTATTTCTTTTTAACCCATCAGATTAACAGCAGCTTTCTCAGATGAAACCTTACAAGCTGGAAGGGATTGGGGCCCTAGCTTCAGCCTCCTTAAACAAAACAATGATCAGCCAAGAATTTCGTATCCAGTGAAACTAAGCTTCATAAATGAAGGAAAGATACAGTCTTTTTCAGACAAATACTGAGAGAATTCACCACTACCAAGCCAGCAATATGAGAACTGCTGAAAGGAGGTCTAAATCTTGAAACAAATCCTGGAAACACATCAAAACAGAACCTCTTTAAAGAATAAATCTCACAGGACCTATAAAACAAAAATACAAATTAAGAAAACACACAGAAAACAAGTTATACAGGCAACAAATACCACAATGAATGGAATAGTACCTCACATCTTAATACTAACATTGAATTTATGGTCTAAATGCTCCACTTGTGGCTCATGCCTGCAATCCCAGCACTTTGGGAGGCTGAGGTGGGCGGATCACCTGAGGACAGTTTGAGACCAGCCTGGCCAACATGGCAAAAACCCATCTCTACTAAAAATACAAAAATTAGCCAGGCATGATGGCACATGCCTGTAATCCCAGCTACTAGAGGGGCTGAGGCAGGAGGATCGCTTGAACCTGGGAGGCGGAGGTTGCAGTGAGCTGAGATCATGCCACTGCACTCCAGCCTGGGCAACAGAATGAGACTCCACCTCAAAA